CCTTTATACACTTCTGTAACCGGGTCCCGTGCGCGTGCCCAGCGGCCTCAGCCCCGTCTTCACCGGGATCATATTTATAACTAACTAACCACCGGACCCGGCCCCACGCCGGCTCCCAATATCCACACACGCCCTGGAGACAGTCCCAGTCAAATGGATGAATTTACGCACGGCTGACAGCGCTCACAATACCGTCCTTCTCCCCCTCTCCCTCCCCCCTCTCTCCCTTCTCTCTCCCCCCTCCCTCCCCCCTGTTATCAGCTGCTTCTGTGAATGGACCAACAGATTTTGGTTTATTATTGTTTTACGCTTAGGGAAAGGGGGAAAAACCTCTGCTGCTATTATCCACTGCGTGCGCGCCATGGACAGGACAGAAGGGGATGGCACCTCCGGGAGAAAAATGTGAGAATTATACAGACTCGCGTCATTAATCAGGCGTTTCTTGAACTCGCCCTTTGTCCGTGGCACAGACGCGCGGCCGCAGCAGCGCGCCTTCTGCCCTGAGAAAGAAGTGGTATAAGAAAAGGCAGAGAGAAGACGTCTTGGAAGACATTCTTACCCCTCCTCCTCCTCTCCGCAGTTCACACAAACACTTAGACTTAGAATGACTTCCCTCCCACACTAAACTTTTACGCGTAAAGGGAAGTGGCACAAAAATATCTCACTTTTGGAGAGGAGCATGGCGAGGTAAGGCCTGGGAATGTAATTTACACTTGCTCTGTACTATTTCGGGCCGTGGCGTGACGGGTTTATGGTTTTATTGCCCCCGCGCGCATTTGGCGAGGTCACTGGGAGCAAAGGGCGCGCGTTTGGTTTTGGTTTTCTTCTTTGATTTTTACGCACGGCGCGCGGGACGAATGTTTGCTTCTCAGAGTGAACAAAGTGCCAGAACAGGTTTCTGGGGATGGCTTCGTGTTGTGTTTATAAATATGTCCATGTGTTGCTATGGGTGACACGTCTGCGTCAGTGGGAGCAGGCGTCACGCGCACATACGGGGCCGCGACGCGCTGTTGTGGGTCGTAAATGACAGCACGAACTTTACAACTGCTGGTTTCTAGATATTTGACCTACACACAATGCTCATGTGTGTGTGTGTGTGTTTATATTGTCTGCTTGTATGAAAGTTGTTTTGTTATGCGTCTTTTAAAACTCCAGAGTGAAAATAAACATGGCGTGTGTAGTTCCTGAAACGCTGAATCAAGTTAATCGAATTAAGCAATTACAAAAAGCTGTGAAGACAATTAAATTACCTCGATTAATTGTTCATTTGTGAAACTGCACATTAAACCCCAAATGTATTTCTTCTCTAGTTTCTGCGGTTTCCCAACACGCCTTAAGAGGTTTACGCTTTAAGTAGGTCCTAAACCCAGGGCACTTTCTATACAGCGACTTGGCTCCCAACAATTGTCACATTCATTCTTTCTTCTGTGTATTTTTTATTAAAGTGTCACAAAATATGAATATTGTCCAAAACAAAACACTGGATTTGAATTTGACCATTTAGGAAACTTCAAGAAAGGTTTTGACACAGCGGCGATCGGACTGTTCAAGATGAGAGAATGTGAAAGGATGAAGAATGTTTTATGGTTCTTTTAAATTAACATCATTTATATTTATTTCATTTATTTAATCTTTATTTCAGAATCATAAAAAAGATACGTATCCAAAGTTAAGGCCATTGTAGACGTTTCATCTGAGTCACATCATGTGGAGGTTTAAGGACAATTTGTGTTGAAAGAAGCAGGTATAAGCCCTAATCTGGATCAGTCTTCCTGAAAATGTGAGACAAGCTGGTTTTAAGAATAGAAAAATGCATTCGGTTCTGACTGAACTCATGTCCGCTCCCTTCTGTTCTCTTTCTGCTGAAACATGAAACCTGCTCATATTTGTTTTGATTCAGAGACCGGTTCAACTTCTGGCTTTGCACTTCCTCATTACTAACACTTTGCTCACCCTTTGCTAACCCTTTGCTAACCATTTGCACACCCTTTGCTAACTCTTTGCACACCCTTTGCTAACCCTTTGCACACCCTTTGCTAACCCTTTGCACACCCTTTGCTAACCCTTTGCACACCCTTTGCTAACCCTTTGCACACATGATAAACATAACCCTTAATGCCTCCAGCTTCACCTCCTGCGGCGCCACTTTGACTTTTAAACCCCAGCTTTAAATGTTGATTTTTTACTTCTTTTTTTTGCGCTTTTTCCTATAGTCTCCATCTTATCATCTATAAGCGACTCTCTCTATACCCTCCTCTTTCCCGCCTTCAAATCTCTCCCATGTCATTTTTTTCTATTATTCTGTAACGAGACAGTCCGTAATCTGTGGAATTCTCTCTGCGCTGGAAGTGACTAATTCTCTGTTCAGCGGAGCTTGTTATGGGGTTTGTCTGGATCTTCTAAAATGGCGTGTTGTGCTGACTGTCCGGGGCCCGTGGAACCTCCGCTGCTTAATGAGTTCCTGTGCGTGTGCGTGTGTGTGTGTGCGGTGTACGTGTGTGTGCGCGCGGAGCCAGGTGCAGCCGCTGGGAATATTGGAAAAGAGCGGATCCGACTGAAGGGAAGGGGAAGAAAAATTAAAAGTAAAGAACGAACCAACTCGGGCTGGTTAATGGATAGTCCTCCAAAACACAATATACTAACACACACACACACACACACACACACCGAATCAGCGTAATGGCTACTGGTGATTTGACCCCTCAGCCAATCAATGAGAGCGGATTAAATATAAAACAGGAAGTTGGCGGGAGGTGGTAAAGCGTGGAGAAGTGGTGCAGGACTAATGGTGGAAAGATGCAGGTTATCGGGACGGGCCTGAGTGGATCGATGGCTGTTGCGCAGGGCCGGATCGGTGCGTTTGGTGGCCCCCGGCGAGGTGGGCTGGTGCAGTGTACTGTAGTCACTGCAAAAGATGACAGAATTAAAGACAAAAAAATGCTCAAATTTGGCTAAATGTATCTAAATTTGAGCACATTTTGACTGTCTTAAAACAAGATTTGCCAGTGGAACAAGATAAATTGTATTGTTCTCTTGGAATGAGAAAATAAAGCAATAGTTCTTGAATCAAGTCAAAATGGCTTGTCTTATTGGCAAATCTCATTTTAAGACAGTCAGAATGAACTTAAGTCAAGTTAAAAAAAACTCGATTCTAGCAATTATGATCTCATATTTGATCATTTTTTGCAGTGTGGCAGGGTGGCTGAGTGGTTAGCTCTCTGGCTTTTTAGCTTGGAGGTCCTGGGTTTGATTCCACCTCCAGACAGGCCTGTTCTTGTTTCTCCTGCCACTGAAAACCTGTGTCCGCTCAAACAGACATCGAGCGAGTGACCGCGGGCGTGTGTCCGAGCACTATTATTCTAATCTTAATCAGGAAAAAACTCTTACCAAGAATTTTTCAATCTATTTATCTGCATTTGTCCATAGAATGATTTAAGGATCGGCCAATCCGTGTGCAGCGGTCACTTATGGACCAGGAAGAACTCTGAGATTATTATTATTATTTTATTATTATTATTATTATCGTTCTTCACATTCTGTATTATTATGTCATTATTTAAATGTTTTATTATTCTTTTAGACCCCAAAATGTCAGTAAACTTCTAGTTCTACTGCTGCGCTCCAGAACATTACAAACCGTTTCCTTTCGTAAATAATTCACTTTTTGATGAGCCACAAATACTTTCAAAATGTGTTAAATGTGGAACAGAGTTTAGAGAATAGTTTGCAGCATTAAAGCTGGATACTGTCTTCTTTAACTTCATAAATGATACAGAAAGAACAGAAAGAGTCTCATGAAAGCAACATTTGGTGAATAAACATTAGACACGCCACATGTCTATTGTCTTTATTCTTTGGGCTGAGAGCTGATTGGCCGAGTGGGGGTGGTCCTCTCCTTTTCACTTTTCTGTCTGAAAAACAGATCTAAAGATGTGTCAGAAATACATTTAGACTTAAACTGTGTAGACTAAGGACTGAGTTTTTTGTGGTTTGAAATTTAGTTAACCAAGATTTAAGTTTAAAGGCACAGAAGGTTCTTCTCCCTCTGGATTTGTGGATTTGTGGATCTTTGGCGCTGCTGGGTCTGGAGTCTTTCTCTGGAGAGACACTGTTTCTGAGCCGAGAACAAACGTAAACAACAATGCTGCTATGTGTGCTTCGCTAACGGAGAGGATTCTACTCCTTCATCCAAAACCTAACCACAGCTGTAGTTTCTCTCTGGTCTCTCTCTGGTCTCTCTCTGGTCTCTCTCTGGTCTCTCTCTGGTCTCTCTCTGGTCTCTCTCTGGTCTCTCTCTGGTCTCTCTTTGGTCTCTCTCTGGTCTCTCTCTGGTCTCTCTCTCTGGTCTCCCTCTATCTGGTCTCCCTCTCTCTGGTCTCTCTCTCTGGTCTCTCTCTCTGGTCTCTCTCCGGTCTCTCCCTTGTCTCTCTCTCTGGTCTCTCTCTCTCTGGTCTCTCTCTGGTCTCTCTCTGGTCTCTCTCTCTCTGGTCTCTCTCTGGTCTCTCTCTGGTCTCTCTCTGGTCTCTCTCTGGTCTTTCTCTGGTCTCTCTCTGGTCTCTCTCTGGTCTCTCTATTAGCAAATCTTGTTTCATATTTGGCGTTGTATAACTTTTGTGGCATTTTTAACAGTGCAGTCTTACATGTTTCATTGCTTTAAGCTAAAGTATAGATCTGCAATAGTTGAAGAGAGAGAAAAGCTGCTGTTAGCTCCAGAGCTACAGGTCTGAGCCTCCTGGCCCTGGACCTAGACCTGGTCTGAGGACTGTGATGATAGACTCCTCTCTCTCTCTATGGACCAATGGCGCCTCTGTGTTTTTCGGTCTATTTCCTGTGTTTTGTTCTAAAGGGTTTGATTCTCTGATCTGCTGTGATTTACTGCGATACATAAATAAATCAATAATAATAAATACGGACACAGACTTCAGCCTGAACAGTCCGGGGCCTGGGTTCAGCCTGAACAGTCCGGGGCCTGGGTTCAGCCTTAACAGTCCGGGGCCTGGCTACAGCCTGAACAGTCCGGGGCCTGGGTTCAGCCTGAACAGTCCGGGGCCTGGGTTCAGCTTGAACAGCCCGGGGCCTGGGTTCAGCTTGAACAGCCCGGGGCCTGGGTTCAGCTTGAACAGTCCGGGGCCTGGGTTCAGCTTGAACAGCCCGGGGCCTGGGTTCAGCTTGAACAGTCCGGGGCCTGGGTTCAGCTTGAACAGCCCGGGGCCTGGGTTCAGCTTGAACAGTCCGGGGCCTGGGTTCAACTTGAACAGTCCAGGGCCTGGGTTCAGCTTGAACAGTCCGGGGCCTGGGTTCAGCCTTAACAGTCCGGGGCCTGGCTACAGCTTGAACAGTCCGGGGCCTGGGTCCAGCTTGAGCAGTCCGGGGCCTGGGTTCAGCTTGAACAGCCCGGGGCCTGGGTTCAGCTTGAACAGTCCGGGGCCTGGGTTCAACTTGAACAGTCCAGGGCCTGGGTTCAGCTTGAACAGTCCGGGGCCTGGGTTCAGCTTGAACAGTCCGGGGCCTGGGTTCAGCCTTAACAGTCCGGGGCCTGGCTACAGCTTGAACAGTCCGGGGCCTGGGTCCAGCTTGAGCAGTCCGGGGCCTGGGTTCAGCCTGAACAGTCCGGGGCCTGGGTCCAGCTTGAGCAGTCCGGGGCCTGGGTTCATGCGGGGGACACGGGAGCTGCTGGTGGTGACCGATGAGCTCCAGCGCTCCTGACCCCAGATCCACTCCCTCTCCCCTGCCTTGACCCCTTCTCCTCCTCTGGACATTCCCAGACCTCCGGAACACTCCCCCACGCACACACACACACACACAGAGACACAGAGACACAGAGAGAGAGACACACACACACACACACACACACACACACACATACACACACACACACACATACACACCCATTCCTCAGGCCACTTAGTCTAAACAGGGCGGTGAAGGGCACTGTAACCCCGGGGCACGGCTGGACTGTCTCCGCTCCCACGAGGAGGAGGAGGAGGAGGAGGAGGAGGAGGAGGTGATGATGATGATGATACTAGTGAGGATGATGATACTAGTGAGGAGGTAGACAGGGGTAACATGGCCAAGTGAAGGCCCCGGGGTCACACACAGGGCACAGAGTCCTGCTGCTTCTGGCTCCGGGTTCAAAATACAGTTAGTCTCACTTTAGTCACTTTATACTTTACATAAGATACTTTTACTGTACATAAGATACTTTTACTGTACATAAGATACTTTTATTATGCATAAGATCCCTATACTTTTTCACTTTTGAACATATTGCACGGTTTTCTTTAGGGAACTCAGAATGTAGTGAATATGTTTTTACAGTATTTTCAACCGAATCCAACGTGGAAGTTTCTCACGTGTATAAAAAATAATAAAACCTCTTAGATTAAAATGTGTCGTGCTCTGGTGTTTTTTTAATCCTTTCTGTCTTTCACGTCTGCTCCGATTCACCAACAAATGATTTTCACATCTTTGGCTCTTCTTTTTTGATCAAAATCACACATAACCAGTGTTAGCTAAACGGCTACATCCAGAGACTAGCCCAATTTCCACCAGACCTACTCTACTCTACTCTACTCTACTCTACTCTACTCTACTCTACTCTACTCTACTCTACTCTACCCTACTCTACTCTACTCTACTCTACCCCACTCTACTCTACTCTACTCTACTCTACCCTACTCTACTCTACTCTACTCTACTCTACCCTACTCTACCCTACTCTACCCTACTCTACTCTACTCTACTCTACCCTACTCTACCCTACTCTACTCTACCCTACTCTACCCTACTCTACTCTACTCTACTCTACCCTACTCTACTCTACTCTACTCTACTCTACTCTACTCTACCCTACTCTACTCTACTCTACTCTACTCTACCCTACTCTACTCTACTCTACTCTACGCCACTCTACTCTACTCTACTCTACTCTACTCTACCCCACTCTACTCTACCCTACTCTACTCTACTCTACCCCACTCTACTCTACCCTACTCTACTCTACCCTACCCTACCCTACCCTACTCTACTCTACTCTACCCTACTCTACTCTACTCTACTCTACTCTACTCTACCCTACCCTACCCTACCCTACCCTACCCTACCCTACCCTACCCTACTCTACCCTACCCTACTCTACTCTACTCTACTCTACTCTACTCTACTCTACTCTACTCTACCTGTTTGTGTTCCATTACGCTTGTATCTGGTCTCGTATCCAAGCAACCTACAAACAACAAGCCAGTATCCATGGAAATTCCTTGGTAGCTATGGCTTCCAGGAGCATTCAGGCCAAACACAGTTAGACCACTTTAGTACCAGCTCGGCCTGGATAGACCTAGGACCCCCCCTCCTGTGAAGCCCCCCTCTCCAGACCATGAGTGAGTGAACATTGTCATTATCAGTGACTCATTCTGTGGCTCCGTCAGTCATTTACAGTGGAGCAGGTTTATTGAACTGGAACCAAACTGCCCTGTTCAGCCTCTTCTACCTCCATCGTTCAGCCTCTTCTACCTCCATCGTTCAGCCTCTTCTACCTCCATCGTTCAGCCTCTTCTACCTCCATCGTTCAGCCTCTTCTACCTCCATCGTTCAGCCTCTTCTACCTCCATCGTTCAGCCTCTTCTACCTCCATCGTTCAGCCTCTTCTACCTCCATCGTTCAGCCTCTTCTACCTCCATCGTTCAGCCTCTTCTACCTCCATCGTTCAACACCAAAGATTTTGAGCTGACAATTTATACAAACAAATACATTTATAAATACATTTTTGAATTGGAAATACAACACATGGTGAAATTATGGCACATACTGTTGCTTGGTTGTCTATGTATAAATACTGTATATTTATACGTATATGTGCATGTGTGTGTGTGTTCAACAGAACAATGAACAAAAGTATCTTCAAAAATAATCAATCAATAGTTGTCAGTTGAGTCTGTTTTTCTACAATATGAATAATTTGAGAAGCCTCTGTCAGCAGCTGTGATCGCCGTAGCAACAGGTCCATTTCCAGTCGTTGATGCTCTTCAGGACCAGAGGATTTTGTTCATGTTTTTTGGACCTTCTTGCTGAGAAGTGCTGGTGCTAACCACTCTGCCAGCGTGCCAACCAGCTGCTGTAGCTCACCTTCCTGCTCTTTCTCTTCCTCCAGACCCTTTTTCAGCCTCTTAGTGACAGACGTTTGTTGAAGCACTTCTTGGGTGCGGCCTTCAGCTCAGGGGTGATGTGTTCTCTGAGTCCAGGTGACAGTAGCTCCTCCTTTTAATGTAGATGGACGAGTTTGTACTAGTTTGATCCTGATTCTCCAGGTCTGTTTTGGCGAGAGCAATAGTTGGATACTTTATTGGTCCCTGTAGAAGAAATGCAGGCGTCCAGCAGCAGCAGAAACATCCAAACAAACAAATAAATAAACAGATAATTCTAAAAAGTAATAGTAATAAGCAGTCCTTCAGGTCACAGCAGAAGAGGTTCAGGCCATTCTCTCTGCTCTGGTCCAAAGTGAAATGCTAAATGCTTTGTTAGCATGTTTTAAAAAGTTAGCATTCCTCCAGTGGATTTTTGCCTGATCTAAACATCTGAGAAAAAAGTAGGAAATATAATGCTTGGATACACAAACACACACAGACACACACACACACACACACACACACAGACACACACACACACACACAGACACACACACACATACACAGAGACACACACTGTTCATCCGTCTGTTTCTCTCAGCATGTTGAGTGCTGACATCTATGTGAACTGTGTGTGTCCGTGTGTGTGTGTGTGTCTGTGTGTGTGTCTGTGTGCGTGTCTGTGTGCAGACAGCCTGTGTATGGACAGACCTCTGCACAGTGTAAACATCTCGGGCCTCTCCTGATCACAGCGCTGAAAAGGCTCTGGGTAAAAATAGACGTTTGGACAAACACATCGTTTAGAACACACACACACACACACACACACACTTACACACAGACACACACACACACTGGTTGGAACACGCCCTGGTGCTGAGAGTAGCTTGTACTTTCAGAGACACGAATGAAGCTAAACAGTCTTTCTTTTTCTAAGTTTTTAACATGCTACAATATTGGTCCGTTGTCTACAACCGACCTGGAGATGTTTTTGACTTCACAATAATATCAGGATAGAACCAGGGCCAATAGAGTAGAGTAGAGTAGAGTAGAGTAGAGTAGAGTAGAGTAGAGTAGAGTAGAGTAGAGTAGAGTAGAGTAGAGTAGAGTAGAGTAGAGTAGAGTAGAGTAGAGTAGAGTATGTCTGGGGTTGAAGTCATCCAACTCTAAAATTCTAAAACATCTATGGTCATTTATCAACATTCATATGTGGTCTCTCCCTATGGTCCAATACCATGTGGTCTCTCCCTTTGGACCAACAATACCATGTGGTCTCTCCCTTTGGACCAACAATACCATGTGGTCTCTCCCTATGTTCCAATACCATATGGTCTCTCCCTTTGGACCAATACCATGTGGTCTCTCCCTATGGTCCAATACCATGTGGTCTCTCCCTCTGGTCCAATACCATGTGGTATCTACCTAGAGTAGAGTAGAGTAGAGTAGAGTAGAGTAGAGTAGAGTAGAGTAGAGTAGAGTAGAGTAGAGTAGAGTAGAGTAGAGTAGAGTATGTCTGGGGTTGAAGTCATCCAACTCTAAAATTCTAAAACATCTATGGTCATTTATCAACATTCATATGTGGTCTCTCCCTATGGTCCAATACCATGTGGTCTCTCCCTTTGGACCAACAATACCATGTGGTCTCTCCCTTTGGACCAACAATACCATGTGGTCTCTCCCTATGGTCCAATACAATGTGGTCTCTCCCTTTGGACCAATACCATGTGGTCTCTTCCTATGGAACAATACCATGTGGTCTCTCCCTATTGTCCAATACCATGTGGTCTCTCCCTCTGGTCCAATACCATGTGGTCTCTCCCTCTGGTCCAATACCATGTGGTATCTACCTAGAGTAGAGTAGAGTAGAGTAGAGTAGAGTAGAGTAGAGTAGAGTAGAGTATGTCTGGGGTTGAAGTCATCCAACTCTAAAATTCTAAAACATGTAAGGTCATTTATCAACATTCATATGTGGTCTCTCCCTATGGTCCAATACCATGTGGTCTCTCCCTTTGGACCAACAATACCATGTGGTCTCTCCCTATGGTCCAATACCATGTGGTCTCTCCCTATGGTCCAATACCATGTGGTCTCTCCCTTTGGACCAACAATACCATGTGGTCTCTCCCTATGGTCCAATACCATATGGTCTCTCCCTTTGGACCAATACCATGTGGTCTCTTCCTATGTTCCAATACCATATGGTCTCTCCCTTTGGACCAATACCATGTGGTCTCTCCCTATGGTCCAATACCATGTGGTCTCTCCTTATGGTCCAATACCATGTGGTCTCTCCCTAGGGTCCAATACCATGTGGTCTCTCCCTATGGTCCAATACCATGTGGTCTCTCCCTATGGTCCAATACCATGTGGTCTCTCCCTATGGTCCAATACCATGTGGTCTCTCCCTATGGTCCAATACCATGTGGTCTCTCCCTATGGTCCAATACCATGTGGTCTCTCCCTATGGAACAATGCCATGTGGTCTCTCCCTATGGTCCAATACCATATGGTCTCTCCCTTTGGACCAATACCATATGGTCTCTCCCTATGTTCCAATACCATGTGGTCTCCCCCTAGGGTCCAATACCATGTGGTCTCTCCTTATGGACCAATACCATGTGGTCTTTCCCTATGGTCCAATACCATGTGGTCTCTCCTTATGGTCCAATACCATATGGTCTCTCCCTAGGGTCCAATACCATGTGGTCTCTCCCTATGGTCCAATACCATGTGGTCTCTCCCTATGGTCCAATACCATGTGGTCTCTCCCTATGGTCCAATACCATGTGGTCTCTCCCTATGGTCCAATACCATGTGGTCTCTCCCTATGGAACAATACCATGTGGTCTCTCCCTAGGGTCCAATACCATGTGGTCTCTCCCTATGGTCCAATACCATGTGGTCTCTCCCTATGGTCCAATACCATGTGGTCTCTCCCTATGGTCCAATACCATGTGGTCTCTCCCTATGGAACAATACCATGTGGTCTCTCCCTATGGTCCAATACCATATGGTCTCTCCCTTTGGACCAATACCATATGGTCTCTCCATATGGTCCAATACCATGTGGTCTCTCCCTATGGTCCAATACCATGTAGTCTCTCCCTATGGTCCAATACCATGTAGTCTCTCCCTATAGTCCAATACCATGTGGTCTCTCCCTATGGTCCAATACCATGTGGTCTCTCCCTAGGGTCCAATACCATGTGGTCTCTCCCTATGGTCCAATACCATGTGGTCTCTCCCTATGGTCCAATACCATGTGGTCTCTCCCTAGGGTCCAATACCATGTGGTCTCTCCATATGGTCCAATACCATGTGGTCTCTCCCTATAGTCCAATACCATGTGGTCTCTCCCTAGGGTCCAATACCATGTGGTCTCTCCATATGGTCCAATACCATGTGGTCTCTCCCTATAGTCCAATACCATGTGGTCTCTCCCTATGGTCCAATACCATGTGGTCTCTCCCTAGGGTCCGATACCATGTGTTCTATATGTTCTGTGTCTTAACTGTTGATTCTCTGATCTGTTTTGGTGATTTCAATGGTTTTGTTAAGTCTCTGAGACGATGCTGTTGTGATTTAGGGCTATACAAGAATAAATTGTGTTGTAGTAGTAGTCTTCATTTAAAATTATTAATTGTGCAATACAATAAAAAAGAAGATGTATTTATACGCAATTGGAAAGGGAGCAGGTAGAGAAAGATTCTGTTGTATTGTGTATTTATCTCCATAGTTTCCAAGGAGGATGTTTCACTATAGGCGTCTTTCCAAATGCTTCATACTTTAAAACCATACCGACTAGAACCAGTCCATATGTTTCCTTCTCTGTTGTTTCCCGCAGTCTGACGGTGACCTCTCAGTTCAGGTCCGAGAGTTCAGGTCCGAGAGTTCAGGTCCGAGAGTTCAGGTCCGAGAGTTCAGGTCCCCGAGTTCAGGTCCGAGAGTTCAGGTCCGAGAGTTCAGGTCCGAGAGTTCAGGTCAGAGAGTTCAGGTCCCCGAGTTCAGGTCCGAGAGTTCAGGTCCGAGAGTTCAGGTCCGAGAGTTCAGGTCCGAGAGTTCAGGTCCGAGAGTTCAGGTCCCCGAGTTCAGGTCCGAGAGTTCAGGTCCCCGAGTTCAGGTCCCCGAGTTCAGGTCCCCGAGTTCAGGTCCCCGAGTTCAGGTCCGAGAGTTCAGGTCCGAGAGTTCAGGTCAGAGAGTTCAGGTCCCCGAGTTCAGGTCCCCGAGTTCAGGTCCGAGAGTTCAGGTCCGAGAGTTCAGGTCCGAGAGTTCAGGTCCCCGAGTTCAGGTCCCCGAGTTCAGGTCCGAGAGTTCAGGTCCGAGAGTTCAGGTCCGAGAGTTCAGGTCCGAGAGTTCAGGTCAGAGAGTTCAGGTCCGAGAGTTCAGGTCCGAGAGTTCAGGTCCGAGAGTTCAGGTCCGAGAGTTCAGGTCCGAGAGTTCAGGTCCGAGAGTTCAGGTCCGAGAGTTCAGGTCCGAGAGTTCAGGTCCGAGAGTTCAGGTCCGAGAGTTCAGGTCCGAGAGTTCAGGTCCCCGAGTTCAGGTCCCCGAGTTCAGGTCCCCGAGTTCAGGTCCGAGAGTTCAGGTCCGAGAGTTCAGGTCCCCGAGTTCAGGTCAGAGAGTTCAGGTCCGAGAGTTCAGGTCCGAGAGTTCAGGTCCGAGAGTTCAGGTCCGAGAGTTCAGGTCCGAGAGTTCAGGTCAGAGAGTTCAGGTCAGAGAGTTCAGGTCAGAGAGTTCAGGTCAGAGAGTTCAGGTCCCCGAGTTCAGGTCCCCGAGTTCAGGTCCCCGAGTTCAGGTCCGAGAGTTCAGGTCCGAGAGTTCAGGTCCGAGAGTTCAGGTCCGAGAGTTCAGGTCCGAGAGTTCAGGTCCCCGAGTTCAGGTCCGAGAGTTCAGGTCCGAGAGTTCAGGTCCGAGAGTTCAGGTCCGAGAGTTCAGGTCCGAGAGTTCAGGTCCCCGAGTTCAGGTCCCCGAGTTCAGGTCCCCGAGTTCAGGTCCCCGAGTTCAGGTCCGAGAGTTCAGGTCCGAGAGTTCAGGTCCCCGAGTTCAGGTCCCCGAGTTCAGGTCCCCGAGTTCAGGTCCCCGAGTTCAGGTCCCCGATTTCAGGTCCCCGAGTTCAGGTCCGAGAGTTCAGGTCCCCGATTTCAGGTCCCCGAGTTCAGGTCCGAGAGTTCAGGTCCGAGAGTTCAGGTCCGAGAGTTCAGGTCAGAGAGTTCAGGTCAGAGAGTTCAGGTCCGAGAGTTCAGGTCCGAGAGTTCAGGTCCGAGAGTTCAGGTCCGAGAGTTCAGGTCCGAGAGTTCAGGTCCGAGAGTTCAGGTCCGAGAGTTCAGGTCCGAGAGTTCAGGTCCGAGAGTTCAGGTCCCCGAGTTCAGGTCCCCGAGTTCAGGTCCCCGAGTTCAGGTCCCCGAGTTCAGGTCCGAGAGTTCAGGTCCGAGAGTTCAGGTCCGAGAGTTCAGGTCCGAGAGTTCAGGTCCGAGAGTTCAGGTCCGAGAGTTCAGGTCAGAGAGTTCAGGTCAGAGAGTTCAGGTCCCCGAGTTCAGGTCCCCGAGTTCAGGTCCGAGAGTTCAGGTCCGAGAGTTCAGGTCCCCGAGTTCAGGTCCCCGAGTTCAGGTCCGCGAGTTCAGGTCCCCGAGTTCAGGTCCGAGAGTTCAGGTCCCCGAGTTCAGGTCCGAGAGTTCAGGTCCGAGAGTTCAGGTCCGAGAGTTCAAGTCCCCGAGTTCAGGTCCCCGAGTTCAGGTCCGAGAGTTCAGGTCCCCGAGTTCAGGTCCCCGAGTTCAGGTCCCCGAGTTCAGGTCCCCGAGTTCAGGTCCCCGAGTTCAGGTCCCCGAGTTCAGGTCCGAGAGTTCAGGTCCGAGAGTTCAGGTCCCCGAGTTCAGGTCCCCGAGTTCAGGTCCCCGAGTTCAGGTCCCCGAGTTCAGGTCCGAGAGTTCAGGTCCCCGAGTTCAGGTCCGAGAGTTCAGGTCCGAGAGTTCAGGTCCGAGAGTTCAGGTCCGAGAGTTCAGGTCCGAGAGTTCGGGTCCCCGAGTTCAGGTCCCCGAGTTCAGGTCCCCGAGTTCAGGTCCCCGAGTTCAGGTCCGAGAGTTCAGGTCCGAGAGTTCGGGTCCGAGAGTTCGGGTCCGAGAGTTCGGGTCCGAGAGTTCGGGTCCGAGAGTTCGGGTCAGAGATAAATAATGTCTTCCTCTGGGTTTGGTTTTTGGAATCCTCGGTCTGTGACGTCGCTCTGTTTTTATACATTTCAAACAAAAGTGTCTACATTTGTTTTGGGTCTTTCTCTTGTTAGATTCCAGTCCCGTTCCATCCCCGACCCAGTCCGTTCAGCCTGGGACCGCGAGGCTCTCTATGTACGTTTACCGTGTGTTTTGTACGTAGTAAGTGGGCGGGGCTTGAGGAAAATGGTTAAAAAAAAGCCACACACACACAATAGAAAGAAGACACAGAGGTACATCGTGGTTCTGTTTTCATCTGGGACAAAATGTCTGTCATCAGGCTTATTCCCACTGTCCATGTGTGGAAACTTGTGATTTTTCTCATACGTATTTTTAAGAGTGGGCGGGGATAGAAGATAGGTGAAAACAGACATTAGTATACATTGACTGCAGGTATACAGATGTTGTATATATAACAGTATAGTAGTAGTAATCGGAGTAGAAGCACCAGCCATTTGTCCTTCGTGACTGCAAGTACTGTACAGTATGTTGTACTTGTAGTAGTAGTAGTAGTCGTAGCAGCTGTAATAGTAGTAGTAGTAGTAACAGTACTAGTTGTAGCTGTAGCAGTAGTAGTAGGAGTAGTATTATTTGTAGCTGTAGCAGTAGTAGTAGGAGTAGTATTATTTGTCCGAGAGTTCAGGTCCGAGAGTTCAGGTCCCCGAGTTCAGGTCCGAGAGTTCAGGTCCGAGAGTTCAGGTCCGAGAGTTCAGGTCCGAGAGTTCAGGTCCCCGAGTTCAGGTCCCCGAGTTCAGGTCCCCGAGTTCAGGTCCGAGAGTTCAGGTCCGAGAGTTCAGGTCCGAGAGTTCAGGTCCGAGAGTTCAGGTCCGAGAGTTCAGGTCAGAGAGTTCAGGTCAGAGAGTTCAGGTCAGAGAGTTCAGGTCCCCGAGTTCAGGTCCGAGAGTTCAGGTCCGAGAGTTCAGGTCCCCGAGTTCAGGTCCCCGAGTTCAGGTCCGCGAGTTCAGGTCCCCGAGTTCAGGTCCGCGAGTTCAGGTCCCCGAGTTCAGGTCCGAGAGTTCAGGTCCGAGAGTTCAGGTCCGAGAGTTCAAGTCCCCGAGTTCAGGTCCCCGAGTTCAGGTCCGAGAGTTC